ACCTTCCGAGTCACACAGAGTATGAAGGCCTCACAGATGTGCCTCAAGTGATTAATCTCGAGTCTCTGCTTCTGGTGACCAACTGATGATTTGCTCTAGGGTTACCACAGGGGTAGGGTAACCATGGCCCAACATAAATCAACCCCAGTACCTCACCACCCTATTCAACAGTCTCCCCTCACCAAGTAATCTGACGGAATATGGCCTCAAGTCCCGCCACACTGTAAGGACTCCCTTTTCTCTCTTTGGCGGTCGTGAAATGATTCGCGCGACTTTTGGTGATGTGAGGTCTCGAATGGTACACGATTAATCTATACTACCATCCCCGAGATATGGTTAGTATCGAGGTGATACGGACACCTGTCTACATCTGTACGGCTGCTGTGTGTTTTGTTTAACATTATCGTCTTGGCCCGCATTCGCTCCGTCATTGGTGCCCAGTTGATAATTATCCAGGAATCTAACTTATCGAGATGTAGTTGTTGTGAACTTTGGATCGTGCCGGATACCACTGGGCGAAACACCCTAGCTTGAGGTTCCAATGTGTCAATAGTCAGTCTGCAGAAGGCTAATACGTTACACAGTGCCATTCTCGAGAGCCATACACATACTGACTTTGTGGCTACTGAACGCACGACGATCTTGACTTGCCAAATTCAGGCATGAAACTACCCAAAAAGGCATATCTCAGTTTGACAGAGATGAAACAGACATCGAACGAGGGGCCACGATGAGTGAAGGATCGGAAGGGCAGCTATTTCACAGAAGCCAAGGCATGACACCCCAGGAAATACTGACAAGGCCGGTACACCCCAGGGAAAGATGGGACAAATCTCTCGTCCTCCATCGAAAACTCGCCCGTCCTTCGTTTGAAACATGGCTCGTAAGGGAACCAAACGAAAGGGAAAAGGTGTGGTGCCTAGCGAGGTGAGAGTTCGTCCGGTTGTGTATTTCTTGAGATATACATACTCCCCAGGATGTTTCCGCGGAGCCGCAACGGAAAAGGTTTCGAGCCTCTAATATCCAGCAAAAGGTAAGATGGGAATATGAAAGGTGGATAAAACTACTTACCGTGGAATTTCCAGAGGACTCCCGATAAGCATCGCCGTGCAGAGCGTCGTCGATTGCCGAATAGTGCATACCGTCGCAAACGCGACGCTGAACGCGTAGCGCAGGCAAACAAATACTCTCCACATATGGTAGCGTTGTGGGTCCGTCACTTCAAGGCACTGGTAACTCGTCGAGAGGCTACTCTCAAAGTCCTTTGTGAGAGCTTGAAGCTCCCGCCTATCGAGGTGGTGAAGAAGCTGGTGGCCGTGGAGCGTAGTGAGGACTGGGTCGAGCCAATTGCGGACAATGACCCCGTTTGGCCAAGGTTGGAGCCGATTGCCGAGATGTTGGTCGAAATGGCCTGGGACCCATTGCATTTTGATCACAAGAAGTGGGTCGAAGAGAGTGCCCTGGTCCAAGATGACGGTCTCGTGTTTGATGATGAATGTTTTGAGATGGAGAAGGGTTTCGAGACAGATGATGGAAGTGATAGCGAGAGCGATGGCAAGTGGGAGGATACGGGTGACGACGAGTGGGAGGATATGGGTGATGAGTGGGAGGATATGGGTGATGGGTGGGAGGATACTGGTGATGACGAGGACGGAATGGGGATGAATGAAAGAATGGACAAGGGAAGCGAGGACCGCCATGAACGGCTAGAGGCGAATCTTCACTCCTTGGCGAATGAACTCTCATGCAGCTTTTACTATCGGATTGCGGTTCTTGACGACGGTGCGGAAGCGTTCATGAAATACGCTGAGAAGAATCCTGGAGACCTTGGCTTTGCGACCTTTATCCTCGTAGCAGTCCTTGGAGTCGATCCGAAACAAGTCGAGGAACGAGTTGGACAAATTTACGGAGTTCGACACACCAAGGCACTGAAGGAGTTCTTCAACGTGGTTAAAGATATGTTTCCTACCAATACCGAGGATCGTCGACCTGTGGTCTGGCCATATGCTGGAACCTCGATCGCCGGCAATCCGCTCTCGCGGTGCCAGAACGATACCACATCCCTTCATAGGCGAATTGTCAATGTTATCAAAGCCAATACGGGCGAGATCACTTGGTACCCACTGCGAATCTCGAATCTCAGTATCCCCGTTGCCAATACTCTGGAATATCGGACGAACCGGATGCTGGGTGACATTGAGGGATGCCTCATCGACGCGACTTGCCAGATTTCGCTAAACTCTGCGAGAGGAGGGTGGATTCCCAATTTTTTGCCTCCAGTGTCAATCCTCAAAACATGTGCAAATGCTCTTCAATTGGCAGGAAGCCCGTCACCGATATACAATGAGGATTCTGTGCTGACATCGAAACTGCGAGCTCACGTCGACGACTCTGTGACATTCTTGCGAGGGAAGATTGCTAGTCGTCGAATCAACCCTCACGCACTCGAGTCTGCAAAGAAGAACCTCGCGGATGTCCTACCAATTGTGAATGGATCTGTGATCAAGATGACGGTCGCAAAGGATATCACTGCCGAGGACTTTGACGGTCGTGTTGGCAGGATTCGAGACGCTACAGCCGGCCACGCTTTTCAAGTGGATCATCGAATTCGGCGACTTCTAGATCCTAAGGCTATACTGGAAGGTGATCTCAGCATCTACGAGATACAAAAGTACTTTGGACCCACTGTCGATCTCTGGGCGGTTACTCTTCTCCACCGCTGGCTTCTCCTCCACCTTCTTCTTCTCAGCCGAAACTTGATTACTGCAAGGCCGATCCTTCTGGTCACTTGGTCAAGTTTGGTGTCAATGTCGATGTTTCGTGGCGAGATTTGAGAGGTGTGGTTGGGAACAGATACCACAACATCTGAATATCAAGAGGCGAGGGATGGTTTCATGGCGGGAAGAAGTAAAGGCAATATTGAAGTTATTGCCCCTACTGCAACCATCCGAGGACGATCTCGTGACATTTACGGATCAGATTTTCTCAATGTTCAAGGGGAACCCATGCTTCGTCCATATGGTCCAGGAGAATCTGATGCCGCCGTCTGGGTGGCGATGGGTCACCCAGGTCACATCAAATACGATCCCTTCTTTGCGAAGCTCCGTCTTACCCTCCAACTTGTGACTCAATGTGTTGCCGAAGTGGTGAACCGAGTTATCACTGTAGAGGTGATGAAGTCGCCGGTGGAAACCTTACGAGGAGATCCCGTTGTATGGAAGATGTGGCTGGAAATGCGTGTCAAAGAGATCAAGGACATCATGATGAAATCCGGCTTACAAGAACTACTCGATCAGCTCAAGGAGGACCTGCGTCCACAACAAGAGGTCATCTCGTACTTGCGCAGCCTCCGTCGGCTCATTCTCGATCCACACACTGAAGATACGATGGTCGAGTACGAGGAGAAGGAGTATTATTCAACAGCGGAACAAGCTGCTCCGCATGGCAATGAGCGCGAGAAGCAGCTGGGTCGGATCGTAGCGAGGGCAAGGTATCTGCAAAGTATCGGTGCAGATCCCGATCCCAACTGTATCGTCCCTGTTGGGATGGACCCCACAGGCAACGATTTCGCAAACCACTTCCGGAATCTCGACACCGGCAAACATCTCAAAAACTCGGCCAAAAGCAAGGGTCGAAGTGAGGTTGGAGTGGCAAACTGGGAAGCGAACCGAGGGTACTTGGCGCAGTGGAACAGAGACCGCGCGGCAGAGAGGCTGCTTCGCTCTCTGCAGGATTTGGAGTTGGAAGCTCAAGAGAGGCATTATCTCGCCGCTCCCTTGGACTTGTCAAATCCTATGTGGCTCGTCAACTTTGGTCGACCAGGCGAGCCGCGAGGAATGTGGCTGATGGATTTCTGGCGAACCTGCATCTGCTCAGGCTGCCACGTCACGCTATTCAAAAAACAGAACAATGACGAACATCATTGTCTGCACAACCAGCAGCGTCGGGTCAATGAAACCGACTATCCCCAAGTCAGACAAGTGGTCTACACTCACCATCTCTTCGAGAATCTCAATCTCTCCCCGCTATTGAAACAACCCTCCTTCTTCGGCTTAATCACACGACCCGCAAGAGACATACTCATTGCGAACCTGAACCAACTGCCCCCAAAGGACTACTCAAAAATCCACGGCAATATCTACGTTCAGGTGGACAGCCCCAATGACTTTCAATTAACCCTCGCATTCGATGTTGCCCTGAAAGAACTCAACACGACTCCCCCAGAATTTCGTCCAATAAACGCAAGTGTTCTATACGAAACCTGGCAGGACAAACGGAGGATGGCACTTGTCGCTCGAATGAAGAGCTCCGAGGTCCCGATCTTCATAGCCAAGTGTGACCACGGATGGGAGTGTGTTGGTCCAGCAGTCCGAATGAACAAGAAACTGGGAAAGCCAGAGCTCCATGAAGAAAGGAAGGTGATCCTCCATACGTGTAAATGGAGTCACGGAGAGCAGGATGTGTGGATGGACAACGAGAATTACAGGGGACCGCGTTCCCGCTTCAAGAAAGGGCAGTGCAACAAGGACGGGTGGCGGAATTGTAAGACGGTGCGTGTTTGGGAGGTGCGCGACTTTTTCGACCTCCCGTACGAGGTTGCAAGCCGTTTGTGGCATTGGTACCGTTTCCAAGACGGCGAACCACTTCACTATTGGAGGAGTGGGTACATATGGCCATGAGTGAGGAGATAAAGTCAGTTGACAACATTTTTCTCGTGGATGTTCACTGATGAATGGCTAGAATTGTTGGCTACGGCGGAGTGTATTCGAGTAATCAACGCCGTCAACAATGACTGTCGTCAAAGACTATCCCCGAAATGTAGATTCACTTTCATGGTCACTACCTTAGATATCTGGCATCTGTGTTTGATCAATTCAATGTGCACTTGCGTTGTTACGAGCATTGTCGCGATTCCTCAACACCCAAAGCTCGGGGCACTCTCTTAAGGTGAGCGTCTCTTTGTCTGGTGTCTTACTCTCCTCACCACCTTACTACACATGGGGCAGATGGCCGAGTGGTTAAGGCGTTGTGTTTAGGTAATCACCTAAATCCGCAATGGGAAACCTCGCGAGTTCGAATCTCGTTCTGCTCAGAAGTTTTTGATGCGTCAATATTTTTTTGTCGTTTCGTACGCGTTCAGTGCTGGTGACTGTTTTTTGATACCACACTAACTTTCCATCAGGGATTTTCTTCGAGATGGAAGATGTGTTCGCCCCCAATGGCAGGGTTAGACGCGTCCCCTCGGCACGGCGCAGTATCTAGGTTCAGTATTGACTTGCACCTTCGTTGCTCAGGATGCGCAGGCACTCGGTATCGCATTCCACACGGGCTTATTGCGTGGGTAGGCATTGCTCTGGCCCATATGCTCCACTTAAAATCGATATCCCCCTCTTGTGAAACCCTGTAGAACCTTGACCCCCATCCTGGTCCATTCATGGCAAAGCTTTCCGTCTTCCACCTCCTCCGAAAGCAGTTTCGTGGTGCCCCCCCTCTCGCTGTCCACGCCGACTTGACAGCAAAACCGTGATTGTGGTTGGCGCCAACACCGGCATTGGGTTACAAGCAGCCATCCATTTCGCGTCCATGAAAGCCGGCAAGGTTATCTTGGCATGTCGAAACGAAACAAAGGGAAAGGCTGCCGTGGCTGGTGCGACAGTCATTCTGCTGATATTGTTCCTCATATCTGGCGTCCAACCTGACACCCCATCTGACGTCCAATGCAGACGTTGCGAACATCACAGGTCTCCAGAATGCCGAACTATGGCTCATTGATCTCTGTCAGACGTCCTTGATCCTCTCGTTTGTTGAGAAATTCGACAGAGAAGAAGGTCGTCTTGACATTCTTGTGATGAATGCCGCAATGGCGGTTTCTGGCTACGAAGAGTACGAAGGTTGGGAAGCTTCGTGAGTCCCTTCTTCGTTTCATCCCTTCTTCGTTTCATCCCTTCTTCGTTTCATCCCCCCAGACGGAATCTCACGCCTCCTGTAAGATTAAAGGTCAACTACCTCTCCACTGCCCTCTTGTCTCTGCTTCTCCTGCCTTCAATGATTCGCACCGCCGCGGAGCACAGTGCGGCTCCTCGCCTCGTCGTTGTCGCCAGTGAAATGCACTTTTGGGCAAGGATCCCTGACCAAGCCATAGCCGCCTCTCGCATCTTGGAATGCATCAACACGCGAAAGAACACCCCTACAGAACGGTACCGTGAGACCAAACGTGTGCTACGAATCCCCTCGAATTTTAAGCAAGAGCTAATAGGTATCGCTGTATAATTAGTGCTTGACATCCTTTTCGTCCGAGCCCTGGCATCACATCTGCCAACCTCCTCACCAATCATTCCCGCATCCGTAAATCCCGGCTTTTGCTACTCCAGCCTCCAACGCAATATCACCTTCCCTGCGTCCATTGCGACGTACTTGTTCAAGAAACTATTTGCCTGGACGAGCGAAGAAGGAAGTCGGCAGCTTCTTTGGGCAGCTCTGGGGCCGCCCGAGGCGAGGGCCGAAGATGAGCCAAAGCTGAGGGGAGGCTATGTTTCGGAGAACGAGGTCAGGGAAGTCTGCGACTTCATCTTGAGTGACAAGGGACGGGAGTGCGAACGGCGTGTCTGGGTGAGCGGTTCGTTTGCAATGTCTCATAGCACAGCCGTGTTGATTCCGTTGTTTGACAGAGGGAAACGATCGAGATCTCAAGTCAAGCGTCTCCGAAGATAACGGCGATTGTTGATCAGTTCCTCACCCGCGGTGAATGATTCTCCCTTTCCCAACCGAATTTTTCTACCAATGATCTCTCCTCTACCTTCATTCCGTGTGGGGCGCATAATCCAAAACGGCTCTCACCCATATATTGCACGGAGGCTTCACTTGTAATACATTGATTTAGGTATGGAATAAGGATGCAGTGATTGGAGCCCACAGCAAGCAGAGGGTTATCATTACATTAATTTGGGACGGAGGTTGATGCAAGTTCACCCTCTATTATTCTGGTGTATAATACCATTTCTACCTCCCAATCGCCTCTGGCAAATCGCGTAAAGGGACAAAACATATCCATCAAGGTGGGATGGTGACGTGGCTGTGCCTAGGGTAAAGGCCATCAGCGACTGCGTTTGGGGGAGTATCCAAGTCCTTGAAGTAATCGACATTAATTTTGGGGTCAGATATGCCGTGCCTTTCGTACGATACCCGTCAGAGCACTGCAGGGATGTGGTAAACTTGAAATATCGTCGCACCTGGCGGCCAGGTGGGCACGAATCTGGAGGGAGCCCTTCAGGTCCGGCTCGACGGGCAGGTCACGACAGTGCGAACAACCCCATTCTGTAGGCACATTACAAGAGATTGTTTCGTCTCCCGCCGCAACCTGCTCTTCGACCAGTTTCAATGCTTGGGCTTCTTCATCGGCAATCTTGAACCAAGGAACAAATTTGTTATGGAATTGGACTTGATGCTTGACCTGTAAGATGAGTCAGTACCCTACAGGCCAGACCATACGTATAAGGCGGGATACACTAACCGCGCCCCTCCAATCCATGGCCATGGTTGAAGGTTTCACATCTGTTTTGGCTGACGGTGGCCAAACTGTACAGGCCAGACAAGCAAGGCGGACGTCCAGGGCGTCCATGTCTTGTGCGGTGGCGGTTTTGGGATCTAAGCCGCAGGCGACGACAATCCGGGCAACCACAATTCCCGTCCTCTCATCAACTTTCAATTTGTCGGGAGACCACTTCTGACGCACAGTCGTCCACTCAGGGAGGCCTAACGCAGGATCGCTAGCGTCAATTTCGTGGTCCACCTTCTTGACGAGACATTTGTGCGCCAGAACCCGAGGGTAGAAAAGGGCGGACGAATTCTTGAACTGATAGAGATCAACGCCCTGCCCAAAGTCAAACAATTCCTCTTTTTGCTCCATATCGTCCCAAAACATCAGAAGTGAACGATACAGGTCGAACGGTTCTTGGCAGTCTGAGCACTTGTAAACAGTTGTGGCGAGCTGTGACTTCCGGAAGAAATCTCGAAGGGCGTCTGCGTCGAGGTCCGCGACGTTTTCGGGTACACCTTCGGAGGTCCGGGGCAGGAGATACTTCGCTTCTTTCCGGACCAGAAGGTGCTCCAAAAGCTTCTCGTGAATCGACGAAGCCCAAGCTTCCGAAAGGGCGGGAAGACGCTCAGCGATTTGTGAGAAGCTACTTTCATCGACAGGGACGTCGCTGGGCAATTCAATTATGTCTCGAATCTCGGGGATGTCGCAAAAATCGGGGGGGCCGGGAAGAATTTGGGTGTACGGGAGGCATTGATTTTTATAAGTCCGTAGAACTTCGATAGCGATACGCTTTCTCGCGAAGACGAGGGCCTTGCGGTCTCGTTCGAGGACCTTTGCCTTGACCTGCTCCATATGTTCGACCAGAGGTCCCCTGATATTGTTCCAAACTGCGAACATGCAAATGGGAAAGGTTCAGTAAGATATCCGACAAAACAGAAGAGAGAGAAGGTACCGACTTCGTTCGGTTAGACGTTTCGGCTCCTTCACAAGTTTGTGTCTCTCAAATTCCTCCGTCTCTCTCCAAGTCATCTTAGACAAGACATCTTCCCATCCCAGAGCCTTCAACTTCGCTTGGATACTAAAAATGCGCTGTGAGCACTTTTGATCAATACCACCCTTGAAGCAACTTACGCTTCCATTCGGTCCTTTCGTGCCCCGTCCAGCTCCTGTGTACGGTCGGACGCTTGGCCTCGCGCCCATTGCTCACAGATCTTTGCGTGCTATTATATTCCGTGAGCGGAACTTCTCCGAAGGAACGACGAAGGCTGCATACCGACTTGATTTTCTTCGTTCCCTCCAACCGTTGCTGAATGAAGGTTGCACGTTCTTCTCCTTTCAAACTTGTCTGACGGGTGGGTGTGAGAAGATTTTGGATGTCTTCCACAGAATCTTTCAAAAAGAGTGGCGAACTGTAGTACTTTTCTATTGTAAACGGTCAGACCTCATAAACCAAGTGAAGATAGGTATGCTCACTCCCAGGAACCGATGGTAATAGATCTCCCAGTATCGCTCCGAATACATCACACATAAAGTTCCGAGACCGTTCAACAAGTCTGCAGAATCGGGGTGAAGTTACTGCTATGGCAATGGATGGGTGTAACAACCCAACCTGATTTTTAAGCATTTTTGGCAGAACCGCACACGAAGTGCCCATTGGACGACACGAATCTTTGGCGTGCCGCAGCTCTAGTATAACCTCTCGATAAGAGCAGTTTCGATCAACAGTCCGAAGCTTTCCCTTACATGACAACGTTGGTCAAAAGCCAGATGTACCCATTGCGGTTCCGTCAAATCATCGGGGCACTCGGGGAACCCAGGAATGTTGGTCAGTGTCATCTTCCACACCCATGCAGCTGATCGATGCATAAGGAGGCGTCGAAAGTCCTTGGAAGTACGCGAGAGCTGTAATATATCGTTCGGAAGAAGGTGACTGAAAATCTGTGGCCCACCCAGTTGTCGAGTAAACACATAATCATCAGGGTGATCGACGGGAGAAGGCATACGTCAAACAAGATATCTGTACACATGTCTGGGAGCTTTGCCAGTCGACCCAATGGAGGTTTCCATCGAGCGCGTTTCTTGCCGACATCGGAGGCAACCTCTTCTGTCGCAGTCCGTTTCCTTTTGGCATCCTTCGGGCGGGCTTTTATACCACTTCCCGAGGCATCTGGCAGCATCGATTGTCGAGTGATGCAAACACAGCAGGCAAGCGAGCTCCGGTTGGACAACAGGAGTATGCACTGAGCGGAATGCTGGAACTGACGGACAGTGAAGGCGTCAAACGCGTCAACTGTGTCTCGCGTGTTGTCACCATGTCACCGGCTAAGGAAGACTTAGGAAGTAAACCTTGTGCTTCTACACAACTCTGGACTCTTGTGAGTGGTTACCTTTATAATATGAAGGTCAAAGGCATTGAATCTCATGATCACTAAGTAGCCAAGAACTCGTCGCAATGTTCTGAATATCTGTTTTCAGACCCTTGCCGCATCCAACACGCAAGCGCGGCAAGGAAGGCATCGTCGTCATCAGCCGCTCATGGTTGACTAAACCGTTAT